CAAATTTAATTTTTGGCTGACCTAATAGGTCCCCAACTTTTACATAACTTAAACACCATTGTATATGTGGAAAATAAAGAGATAATAATAAAAAATAAAAAAATAAAAAAAATAAAATAAATAAATATAAAGTAAAATGAAATTGTTAGAATAATGACTAAGAACTAAGAGATAAATCATAATAACCGTTACAAAGTGTGGAATGATGAAGTAGGCATAATCAAAAAGGGTGACATAAGTGTTACAATGGGAATCTTAGAATAAAATGTAAAACATAAAAAAGAAATATGAAGTTATATAAGAAATGAAAATAAATAGTCAAATTAAAACATTGAGAATGGAGTAGTTAGATAGAAAATTCTATCTAACTACAGACGACGCTTGATTTTCAACTTGAAAATTGTTTTGATAAAAAATTGACTTTACTGATGTTTTTTATTGCCTAAGCCAATTATGTTTTAATATGTTTTCATGTTTTATTATTCTCTGGCTATCCTGCTTTAATAAAAGACCAACTATGACGAAATTAAGCTAAATGCTGATTCTCAGTGATCAAAAAACTAACTAAACTCAAAGTCGTCAGTCCACCATGTTTGGACACCATTTGGAGGCAGTGCATTCACTTTTTTGTGGGTACATTGTTTTTTTTTATAATAAATAGTTACGAGGAATATGATATGCAATTTATAGAGATGTGGAGGAGATAGGGTGCACAATTGGGGGGTCTAGCCTGTGGCGAATCCAGGAATTTTCTCAGGGAGGGGGCGTAGCTCCACCACATGCTTCCCCCACCACTACCCATATCCCCCACTCCTAGGCTGATTTTAATCGCTCAAAAGTTCTCTTTAAATGGTTTTTACAAAAGCAACCTCTATTTTTATTTAAAGTAATTTTTTTCTAATTTACAGTTAATTACTTAAATTAAATAGTTTTTTTGTTATCCCTCCATGTTCAACAAAAAACGTGACATAAAAAATCACAAAACTTTAATTCTCTACTTTCCTCCTAAAAATCGAACGATTGTTTACATAAACTTTTTTGTATTTATTGAGTTTTGCTATCACTCCTTCAAATATACGCGACACCCTGTATGTGGGTTTAGACATGTAAAAAACTAAATTGCTAACACAGGTCACCAAGACAAAACTTTTTACAACCGAAAATTTCAGATTTAACTGATCTTTTTTTTTCATGTATTACTACTAAACAGTGCATGAAAGCAAAAAAACGTATTCTTTAAGGAATTAAAGAACGTCAAATTGTGCGTCGAACGAGTACCTAAACTAAATAATTTGTTTAAGTGATATGATTGATAACCATGGTAAATAAACGCCAATTTTTACCGATATTATAAAAATCTGAGAAAGCTTACTATAAAAAAACCTGCAGCTTGAAAATGAGTTCTCTAAGAAAAAAGAACTCAGAATAATTTCCGATTCCGATCAAATCGGAGACCAAATAATTAGTACATTCTTTCATGAAAACGTTTCCAACAGCAGCTATTTTAATAAAAGAACAACACTTTCTATTAAGAAATATACAAATTATTATTGTGACCAGTTTTATTAATCACATGGATTCTAACAGGAGATTATAGTTGCTGAAGGTTGCATTGTGTCCTGACCTATTGGAACTGAGTAAAAACTGGGTCCGGAAGAAAACCTCTATTTTCTTGTGCTCGAATAAAAGGTTGTTCGAAAGAATTGATGAAGTTCTTTTTTTTTTTTTTTTTTTTTTTTTTTTTTTTTTTTTTTTTTTTTTTTTTTTTTAGTTTTCCTACATCATGTATTTCACCTGCGAGACTCAGTTTGGATTCAATAGGAAAAAACTGCGAAAGGAACACAAGCCTTCCCATCTCACGGCGGCCCAAAAACTCTTTTCTTTAAATAGCTGTTTTTTTTTTCGGAGAGAGAGACTCTGGCAGAAATCACTAGTGTGGTCAAGATAGTAACTTTTTTTTATATTACATTAGAAAATTCGTCTATGAGGATAAATTTTTCCTATATTTCTCTTTTCGTTAAATAAGTGTTGTTTTTTTTTAACCACCCAATGGAGGGCGCGACCCCTGGCAGAATTCGCTACTGCTGGTCACGATAATATTTTTTTTATATTACGTTAGGAAATTTGTGTATGAGGATGGATTTTCCCTACATTTCTCTTTTCTTTAAATAGGTGTTTTTGTCACTTTTTTCGATATTTTTTTCCAATTTCTAAGTAGCTGCTTTTTAGAACTTTTCTTTCCAGCCTCCAGAGGGGCAGGGGGGCACCCCACGCGTCCCTCGGCTGGACCGCTAGCGGGTCTAGCCCACAGACTATTAGTTAAATGAGATAATTGTGTTTCCCATAGTTTATGAAATTCTGAACGCATCTTTATAGTTCGAATGTTTAAGGAAAAGGATAAATGTCTATATAACAGTACTGGAATGAGTACATAATAATTTACTAACTATTAATTATGAAAATTAATTATCATTAAAAACAAAACTATTAATCGCAAAGTATTTGAATGATATTTTTACTTTCACTTACGTATATATGTAATATATAGTAAGGGTAAGTATTTACCTTGAAATTTTTTTAATCTTTAATATCATTTAGGTCTTATCCCCGTTGATGTCACTTTACAGGGCTTAAATGCCCAATGCTCATATGCGTCTTCCTCTATAGTCCGTTTAATATAGTTTATTTTAAATTATTAACTATCTCTTATTATTAAGAGTTACGAAAAAATACTTATTTATTTTATTTATTTATTTTAAATGATATTTACAACTGTATACAAAAAAATACATCTAGTAAATTTGCACATTGGTATAAAGACATGGAACACATGTTGAGAAACTACCCATTGGTAGCACTCTAATAATATGTCTATATTAGAAGATCACGTGGCCATCTTCTTTTCAGACGCCTCGGAGGGTTATCAGGAATCGAATAGGAAGCAAGGTTAGAGACAAGAGGGTTGGGATGGTTATGAAGTTTATTATGGAAGGACAGATATCTGGATTGGGCCAAATCTGATACATAAGGAACATTAAGGTCATTATGGATAATTTTATTTGTAACAAAGTAAGGAGCATTGAGGATTTTACGAAGGATTTTGGATTGTAAGGACTGTATGCGAGAGGAATTTGAAGGCTTGGTGGAGCCCCATAGCTCAACCCCGTAAGTCCAAATAGGCCTTATTATAGTCATGTAAATCAGTCTTTTATAATTGATTGGAAGGTTAGAGCGTTTGTCTAGTAAGTGTTGAAGTAGTCGGAAACGTCGAGCGGTTTCTTGTCGTTTCAGTCTGGTATGAGGATTCCAAGTTAGACGTTTGTCCAGATGGAGTCCTAGGTAACGGATTTGTTCAACAGGAATAAGTGAGGTGTTGTTAAAGGATACTGAAGGACAGGAATTCATTGGTTTACGACGGAGGGTGAAGGTAATTTGATGGGATTTATTGGAATTTATTTTAATTCTCCATTTCTGACACCATTCTTCCAGGTTTGTGATGTGGGATTGAAGGGTTTGGGATGCAATAGATGGGTCGTTATTGACTGATAGGATACATGTGTCATCAGCATATGTGGTGATGACAGTGTTGGGATGGGTTGGGATGTCAGCTGTATAAACTGTGTAAAGGATAGGACCTAGGATACTACCTTGAGGAACACCTGCAGACTGGGAAAAACGGGATGTATATACATTGTTCGAAAAAATACTAAATGTAACTTTTGAAAGAATTTGATAATTGAATAAAGAAGAGAAAAATAAAAATTCTAATCCAGGTCAAAAATGAATCTCCGAAAATACTAGTCAGAAGGTATACGTATAATATATCGTTGGAAAGCGGAGATATTAAGAAAAAACCAATATCTAATATAGAAAGTTGGTAACTAATGGACAGTGACAAAAAATTATAAATAATAATTCTTCAAAACTAATAATATTTAACATAAATCACATGTTTTCTAGTAAATTAAATGAAATTTAATAACTAAATGTAAAATTTTAAAATATTTTTAAGTTTGAAAAAAGTATATAAAATCCACGGAATCAAGCCAATGTCATTGTTTAAAATACTATTCCATTTTACTTGTGTGATAGAAGAAGCGATATATAAAAATATTTCATGGATATGTTTACAACCTTAAATATATTTACTATAGAGTATTAATTCTAGATAAGATATTATATTTAAATATTTAAGTATATATCGTCCATTTATTCCGAAAACTCATCATGTAACCTTTTAGAAAATTAAATTAGTGAACAGTTGGATGAAATTTCCTTTTGTGATATTCCAAAAGTATCCAGTTACAATTAGTGTGATAACTTTTGATCTGTCTATGACAGATAAAGCAAATCTTTAAATTCCGTTTTACTAAACTTTGCAATGAAAAATAACAGTTTAATAACCAATAGTCTTACAATCCATAATCAACAGATCGTACAATCCATCATCAACCATGTGATATAATAGATAGGATTTTTGTTATTTCAGTGGTATTTATGATTTGTAATCTGTATTTTTTTAGCTTTAGCTCTGTTAAAATTTCAATTCAAAAATTTTATAATACTCAAACATGACCAGAAAATAATTCATATTAAAAAGTTGAGCAGGAAGTGAAAGTTGTGTGTTGCGCGCACCAGTCATTATTTCCGCTGGTTTTTATTTTATAAAAATTCTAATTTTTTTATTTTTATTTTATAAAAATTAAAAAGGTACAAATATATAAACACATTTTAAAATAATATTTTCAAAGAAAAAGGAATACAATGTGTATCTAATAAAAAAGTGTAAATACTTCATATTTGGACTTCAATAAAAGAGAAATGGAATAAAATAAAAACTATTTTCAATGACTTAGTTATAGACAACAATATACGTATATTTATTATTACCTACAATATAGATTACCATGCTTAAGGTAATATAAACTGATAGCTACCATGCACCCTCCTTCAAATTTACACCTCTCTGGTAAAAATAAATATCGATTATTTAGTAGTGACAACTGCTCTAATCGTTCTTGATTGTTTGTTTAGGAACTTTTATAATTACAGGTATATATTGATTAGGAACTGTCTGTTGATATCAATGTTAGCTTTGATAATTTTTCGAAAATGTCCTTGGTCAAATTTGAAAGGATTGTCAGTGTAAGCAGTGAAGACCCCGTATGTATTCTTTTAATTATTTATGTAGATATATTTATTTAATTTTAATTTTTACTGAACCTTGATTTTATCAGTCATTTCCTGCTGAGAATCTTCTAAAATCTAATTACAATGACAAGAAATGGAAATGCAAACTTCCTGGAGAAAAACAGATCAGTGTGGTTTTACAGATGGATTCTGCTGTTACTATCAGTGCAATTGATATTGGAAATTATGGTTCTGCCTTTATAGAAGTTTTTGTAGGAAAATCTAGCAATCCTGATGATTTTAAGGTTTTTAAAAATTGGTTCCTCTGAATAATTTGTTGTTGATCCCTGTTCTGTCATTTCTAAGTTATGTTTTGCAGGTTCTCATTGTTGCTTCATCTCTAATGACACTCCAAGAAGCAAAGCTTGGTGAAAATATAAGTAATGTAAGGTTTTTCAAAGAGGATAGTTTGGCGAAGCCTGTGTCTGTAGAAAAATGGGATAGAATCAAACTAGTCTGTTCTCAGCCATATAACAAATTTATCCAGTATGGTTTATCTTTTGTCGTTGTGCATAGTAAAAATATTACCACTTCACAAAGTGCTGTTTCGACTTTAGGGAAGTTCAATTTGAAAACTAAGGATGAGTCTGAAGACATTACAGTTGGGAGTTTATTTGCCAAACGAAAAGCAGACCCTGCTCCCGAACTAAAAGGTAATTTGATTTACACAATGAATAGATTATTTATGCACTTTCATTCTGTCATTAAATTTTTACTAGGTGCAGCAGCAATTAGAGCAGCATCAACTTCCGGTATAATCACCCAGAAAAAACCTTCTTTGATGGCTTTATCTAAGAGTAATTTACAAAAAAAAAAAATTTATTATTTTTTTTTATTACCTGTTTTAGATAGTTTCAATATTAATTATTGTGGCATAGATGCAGCATCTGAAGATGAAGAAATAAATAAAGTCAGTAGTGGACTGTCTTCTGAAACCAATGTTCCACCTTCAGTTAATAATTCCAGTTCTCCAGGTAAATAGGAATATATGAATTCCACCAATTTAATAAGCATTGGAAGAGGGAACTCACCTATTAGCATGGGTTGTGATAACAGGAGGTTATTGTAGTAGGTTATAAATATTGGAAATGCAATTTATTTTAAATGGATATTGGATCTTCTGAAGACATTGATGCTTTGTTGGCTGATTCTGGAAGTGAATATGAGCCTAGTAATGAAGATTTAAGTGGTAGTGATTTAAGTGAGTTTGATGGAAATGAAGATGTTAGTCAACACAGAGGTATCATAAATTGAATAGTATTAGATCTAATGAAATTTCTATTACAAACATAACTTCATTATATTTATTGTTATAGACATTTGTGTAAATCTTTTTCCTAGTTTTATTTGGATTTTAATATATTATACTTTTAACATGACATTCAAATCATGTTAACTGTTATGTTGAGATATCTGTTTCATTTAGCTATTAAACTTACCAAAAATACTAAGGTAATAATATCTAAGTGTTTTTGAGTCCATTGAATATTATTTTATGCAATTTCTAATAATGTTTTGTTATGATTTTTCCCATTTATGCATAGGTGATTCCCTCTACTGAGTTTAAGTAATATGAATTTTTCTCACTTTTGAATGTTTGCATTAAAAACTCAAGCAAGCTGCACACTTAAAATGCCTAATTATATTTTCATTATTTCTAAACTATTGTCTTTGTTATGTTTTCATTTCATAACAAATCCCCCTTTTTTTACTGATTGATTTTTTAATAGTTGTCTCTTCATAGCAAGCAATTTTTTTTTCAATTGGTTATAGTTCTGAAGCACTTCTGCAAGATGGTTGCTGGGGTTCAAGAGAATGCCAAAAGTATCTGAGTAATTCATATTTAATAACTGGCGTTCTTAATAGTATAAAATGCTTTTAAACTACGGACAAACATTTATAGATTTTTTTGTTGGCATTTTTGAAGATTTTTATGATCAAGTATTTTAATAATATCATGGCAATATAGCTGATCTGAATTTTACATATGAAATATTCGAAATATTTAAAAATCTTTAAAACTAACATATTTTTACAAAAATGCTCTGGTAGTAGTTTACTAAGAAAATATTTATTAAATATATCCGCATTATGAAAATATAATAGATGGACATCAAGCTGGATTTTGACGAGGGAGTAGCATGCTAAACCAAATCTTCATCCTAAAACAAGCACTCGAAAAAGGATGGAAAGTAGCTCAAGACGCCCACTCCTTATTTGTCAATTTCAAAGAAGCCAATGATTCTGTGGACAGAAACTGTCTTTGGAAAATCATGACTGAATTGAAAGTTCCCAGTAAGTTGGTTAGAGGGACAAAGGTATGTACAAATGACCCTAAATGTCAAATCCTAATTCAAGGAGAATTATCTGAAGCCTTCAAAGGTTGAATTGGCTTACCGTAGAGAGATGTACTCTAATTGATGTTTAGAACGTGTCTGATGAATTTTAATATGAACATGAACTTACATGAATATGGTAAGAACATGACATGAAAATGGTGGGAGGGGGTGAACGTCAGAATGAATCATCATATCCTTGGATATGCAGATGATAAAGCTGTCCTAGGAAGCAACCAAGAGGACATTAAAAAATTCGCTAAGACTCAAGTAACAGAAGTTGAGCAATTCAGCCTACAAGTAAATGAGGAAGAAACAAAATATATGATAATAGGTCGAAAATTCCTTTCCAATAACAGAAGTGAAATTGTTCCCGAGAATAGACAAATTCAAATATGTCTTCTACGCAATAAACTCAATGAATGTTCCATGGTCGGAAATATACAGCATATAACAAGGTCAAACTGTGTTTTCTTCTCTCTTTCAAAAATATTGAAGACCTGGATACTAACCAGCTCCCTAGAGAAAAGTATTGAAACAGAGAGAGAGAGAGAAATCCTCTGTCAGGTAACTTGAGCGATCTGAGATCAGTCTATCAATTTCTCATGATATGGAGACATGGAGGTTAAGATGGGTGAGGCATGTTGCTTGGAGCAATACATCTTGAAGCCTCTGCACGGCAATGAATGCCTCAATAGAAGACAAAATACCACGTGGGAGACCAAAAAGTAATTGAATAGATTGAATCAACAAAGATGCAATTGAGCTGCATGCAGATAACTGGAAAGAAATAGCCCAAGATAGGCAGAGATGGAGTAGGCTTTTTAAGGTGGCAAAAGATCTGTAAGGTCAACACCAAAAAAATAACTATTTTTTATTACTAGTTACCATGTGAAATAGTTAATTTTTTTATTTTTAATAAACAAAATTACAGGTACTATAGAGAAAGAAATTGTTTTTTTTTTTACATTACATAACCATTGTGAGTTACTAAAAGATTACATAATGGATAACGCAATTGAATGATATAATATGTAACTGCCTCAATTCATTTCATACAAAATTATTAATGGTTTTTGAAAATTGGAGAACATTAATTTAAATGTTTATTACTCAATGTTTCTAAACTTTTTCATGATGATTCTTCTTTGTTTGTTGTCCACTTAAGATTGTTTTGAGTTAAAGTAAAATTTTATTTTTAGTTCTCAGAAAGGATAACAAAAAGAAGCAAAAACCAGATAAACCAAGGACACCAAAAGCAAAGCCGGAACCAAGATTTAATGGATCTTTGCCACAAACTTCTACATCTGCTTTGACCAATGGAGAATCCTCTAGTAAAAAGCCACCGAGTAAAAACAAAGAAGAAACAAAAAAAAACATAGTCCCCAAAAAACGTCTTGAAAAACCTTTCAATCAACTGATGGGAGGTGTTGTTTTTGCTATAAGTGGTTTTCAGAATCCTTACCGAAGTGATTTAAGAAATAAGGCTCTAGCAATGGGAGCAAAATACAGGCCTGATTGGGACAGCACTTGTACACATTTATTGTAGGTATTTTTATCTAACCTAATTTTAATATGTACAACATAGCTTTGTTTTACTTTTAATTGTTTAACTCTAAAAAAAACAATTAAAAGGAAAGTTTTTTCATAATAATTAATAAAAATTGTTTAAGTATATTTTCTGAAACCAGGAAAAAGTATACTCCTTTTAAGTAGAAACCTTTCTTTATTTTAAAATATATTTTATTTAATAATTGAAACTCATAAGTCAGGGTTTGTAGTCAGTCAGGGTTCTTTGGATCAACATCCTTGGATTCCTTGAAGATTGGAAATTCTTATTGAATTGTTTGCATAAAAAAAAATCGGGAATTATGCCTGAAAACAGCCAGTCATTGGGATTTTTAGTTTTTATTCAAATGATTCCATTTTTCCATTTAGCAACAAGTGTATAATATATTGAGAAAATACATAATATTTCTCCGCTTAGAAATAAACAATAATAAATAAAATGAGACCTTGGTACATTGTAGTTTGTGTGATTAACTTAAAAATAAATATGACTGGCCAGATTAACTGGTAGGCTCAACCAAGGTTCATGGTTCAGTTTTTAATTTACCATTAAAACTCTGGAACTGTCATGCATTGATGTTAATTTTATTTTAATTGAATTATTTTTCCAGTTTGAAATATTGTTCGAATACTTTTGTTTTTTATATTTCCTCTTACTGATTATAAAGAGGGTGGACTCATTTTATTATTTAGTTTTGTTTATTAGTTTATACCATCATCATATCACATAAATTTTAACACCCCTTTTATTCAATTTTTGCCTGAAGGAAGTTAGGTTGCCAACATAAGTTTTAAAATGAATTTTATTAATTTACACTTGAAATTATTGTTTTTGTATTGTATTTTCTTATTTTTATTTTTGGAAATGGGTCGAGTCCTCAGTGAAAGAAGTTAAAACAATTTTTTATTTAAACCTTTACAGTTATTTTAATTCATTCTCAAATTCACATTGTACATTTAGTCAGTAGCCGACCAAATAAAACATTTTATGTTTCCAATTTTGTTTTTAATGTGATCCAATAAATTTATGAAAATCATGTTGAATTTTTTTGCTGAATATCCTTGAATTATACTTAATGTTTCCCATCGTTAAGCACTGGACATCCTGTCACTCTATATAGACTTTGTTTTATTTATATTATTTTTATTTTAGCTTTTTTGAGTTATGTAATGACCATTAGTCAGCAACTCATGTAGAAGGCTGCTGATGTTTTTAATTGATTTAAGGGAAGTATGTTAGTCTGTCATACCTTAATGGGCTCTTCTCTTTGCCGTGATCATGTTCCTTATTTACTGAGGATATCTAGGCAAGTGCTCTGGCCTTTATGATGTTGAAAGAGATGAAGTCCAAACTGCATTTTGGACGTTTTTGGTAAATTTTTCCAGTTCTTCATCTAGTTCTTCTTTAGTTTTAATAGAGCCAGTGATTGAGAGTTCTGAATTCAGAAATTGCCTATAAACATCCCAATCCATTTTACCATTGACGAGCTTATAAGGGAATGGTCAGAGAGTTTTCCGTCTCGAAGCCAACAATATGTTGGTATCAGGAATATACTTGCAAAATCTACATGTAATATATTCTGACTGCTTTTAAACTTAAAAATTAAATCTGTTAAGTTATTATCTAGAAATATCATAAAATTAATTTCTTTAACTACATTATTTTTTGTTTTACAATTTATTTTATAGATGTGCTTTTCCAAACACTCCAAAATTTAACCAGGTCCTTGGACAGGGGAAAATAGTAACCAAAGAATGGATTGAGAGTTGTTATTCTAGGAGGATGAGATTTCCTTGGAGGAGGTAATTAAAGTTTTGTTTACATTAAAAATGATTTGAACTATTCTATATAGTTATGGACTATTTATTAATAAAAATTAGTATATATTTATTTATAAACCAATAGCTTAGAGGAAAGGGGTATGCAGTTTGGTGTTACTGCTCTGTTCAAATCTGGCCTGTGTAGTTTTATTTTTGAATTTTGGGTTCCATCTTTGGGATTTTGGGTGGAGAGGAAGGTTATTCTAGAGGTATAACCAGAGTGGGAAGGTCAATATTCCTTCTGTTGGTTTGCCAATTAATAAATTTAAACCCACCCAGGCCGGATGCAAACTGACACCACTTGAACAGAGAATGAAAAATCAGACAACACTAACACACTCATACCCCCTCCCCTTCCTCAATAGGCCAGAAATTGCCAGGTAGGGGCTAAAAAAAAAGGTATGTCCAAGGTGTATCTTATGACCAAATATGATGGCATAACTATCTATTTTAATTTACTTTTTGTTATTTCAATGTTCTTATCATTGATTAAACTAGTAATAAAAGCCATCTTTCAAATTTTAGTGTTAAATCTTTATTGATAATAGTTTTAATAGTCTAAATTATATTATAAAAATTGTGATTAGGTTTGCTTTGCATCCACCTGATAAAAATGTACCTGAAAGTGAAGAAGAGATCATTGAATATGTGCCTCGTCCACCCTCTCCAGTTGACAACCGGAGAAGAATCAGTCCTGGTCCAGCAAGTTCTGGAGAGGATACTGAAGAGGAAATTGAAAGGTATTCTGTCTTTGTTTTTTCTTATAATTCTTTATCTAAAGATTTTATATCGATTATTTTACTTTCAAATATATTTTTTGTAACCGTTTCCTGTAAACATAAACCATATTTAAACTATTCTTAATATTTATGAATTAAAACACTGGTCCTTAAGGCTAAGCTTCACTGTTCATTTTAGTTAGTTCAGTTTATGGCCACTATTGTGTTCCTTAAAATTAGGAGAATTGACTTCCAAATTGCAACTTACTCCTTTTTTATATAGAATTGCCAATAACTATGTTTAAAGGTTGTAATATACCAGAGAAGGGTAGTGAAATTATTAAACAAAAAGTTGCAATGGTAAAGAAGGGCTTTTTTTGCAGCCAAAGCAAAATAAACAAGTAAAGCGTGGATAATTTTCAGAAATACTGAGTGCAAAATGAATTTTCATGCTATGATCTTGGGAATTCCATAAAATTTACTTCATTTCATTAACTTCCCAATGGTAGCTTTGTGAAAGTAGTCTCATTTATGGAGAGATATTGAAGTTATAAGATAAAATAAATATTAGGTACCCACCAAGCATTCTTTATCCATGATCAATCGGTCTCAGAATCCGACCACCGACTGTTCCCAACCAAACATTTCAGAAAATCGATGTAGCATGATGCTCCAATGTCTACCAAAAAATCCAACTAATGCTTTACACTAAATTCATGAAATTATTTTTTCTTTCTAACACTGATATTTTTATTCCTTATTTAGTTATGGAACTTATTTATGTTACTATTTTTCTGTTAGAATCAATGAAGTTGGTGCTATGTATGATGTTGCAGATATATACACTTTTTGTTGCTGCCAAGTTAATATGTTATTGTTAGAGAAACATTAAAGGGGTGGTTACATATCATTTGCTTGTAGTAGTAATCTATGTGGGACCCTTATGTGACCTCTTATGACACACCGAAACCAAGACAAAAATACTTGGTAGTTACTCCTATTATTGTCGACTAGTATGTTCGTGCGAAAATTCGCACAGTGTATTGTTCAGTGATCAAATAATAAATTAATAAGAAAATAAAAATAAGCAACGTATCATTAAAGAAATCATTCGCTACTTTCTCGCTAAATATAATTTACAAAGGAAACAAGAATTAATTTTAAACTTCTTTAATGTTTGGATGATGCGAGAACCCTGCTTGGTGTACGGAACTGGAGAGCTGCAGCAGAAGACAGAGCCAACTGGCGGAGGCTCTTGGAGGAGGCCCAGTCTCGGTAACGGGATGTCGTGCCACACATGAATGAATGAATGAATGTTTGGAATCAACATATTTACAAATTTCAATAAGCTGTACTCTTGCTAATAATGATCTGATTTCGATGATTTTTTTTCCTTTTTTAGGAAATTTAGTAATCTATTATATAATCATGGACATAACCAAGGGAAAAGTGTGTAATTTTTGAGTTATTCACAAATAAAGTTTCTTTTCTTTCATAACTTTTTTGCCTGAATTTTCTGGGTGATTCGACTATTTTTCTGCCTGAAGGAGGATTAAACCTTCAAAATTGGTGACTCAATCTTGTGGATTTGATGGAAAATTAATGATGATATGGCTTACCGACAAAAAAACACCTTTGATAAACAATACTCCTCCTCTTTCGATCATAGGGATCTCAAGTCAACGAAATGAGACATGTATTCCATGACAGTACTACAATTAATGTCAGGTTGTGTGGATGCCTAACTCTTTGCCTTGCATTATCTCGAAAATAGTACGTTTTTGGGCTTAAAGCGCAGAGCCCGATAGTTCCGAAGGAACTATTCGGATCATGATGTGTGCATCAAAATCTTCAAAGCAAAATGTGTCCCGTATCGATCTGCAGACTTACCACTGTTCCAGTTTTTAAGCCTAGGATAATATTTATATTGACTTTATTTCTTTTAGAAAGAAAAACAAAAGTGGAGAGCACGATTCGCTAACCCCCAAACTATGAAATTCTGAATCTAACAGTACCCCATTCATGGTATTTGAGCATGACAGCAGCTTATATTGGGTATTAAACTGATTTCGAGCCTTACTGTAATAATATATGTGGGGATATTTTTTTTTTTTTACTTCCTCACCTCAGTATCTTTTTAAAACTAAACTAGTTTTGCATGTTTTGATATACCATTGAAAATCTGATAAAGCATCTTTTATGAAATGCTATGATAAAGCAGTAGTCCATGAAGTAATTGTATAATCTACCAAGTATCTTTGAATTATTCATTTTTACTAGTTCATTTTGTGTTGAAATTAGTGACAAAAGTTGAGAAATAATTGTTATATTAGAGAAATTTGTAATTTTATGAAACCGTGGTTTTCATGGAAAACCCGTATGATATATCCACTATAGATTGAGATTTGAAAATGCAGTTTAATTATTTAATGTAATTATTTAAATTTACCATGATTAAACAGTTACTATGATTGTATATACCTAATAGTTATAAATCAATATTGCATTAGTGTGATGTTGGGCATTATTGAATACATTTTTACTCCATAACTTTTTAGTGAATAATGATTTTTCTAATATAAAAGTTCCTTATTTATTTTTTTAAATTATTCATTGTTTCTAGTGAAGAACATAATGAATAATCAACTGTTTATTTAAGTTTTTATGAATCAAGATTATGTCTTCATAGCTTGTTATTAATGAAACCAATTTTAAGATTACACACTCGCATTTCTATTAACTTTAACTTTGGAATTTTTCAATGTTGAGGCTCATTATTAGGTCATGAAAAAGTACTTATTGTGAAAATAAATAAAATTATAGATAGTTTGCTCACATATTGATTTATCAAATTTTTCAAATCTCTTCCATATTGGCCTCTATTAAAAGGCAATTTTAATGAAAATATCGATTTTAAGATTGCACTATTTGGTATCGATTTATTCTAACTTTTCGGATTTCTTTTATATTAGGGCCCATTATTTGTCATTGGAAATGCTTTTTATGAAAATACTAGCAATTTTAAAATCAAATGAATATGTAATTTTCTTCTAAAACCATTAGAGCCCCATTTTGACATTCTTCTTTCCTGGTTGAAAATTACTCAACCTTGTGTTTTGGATGGGGCATGGGTCCTACCCTGAACACAAAGTAACTAATAAATAGGTACTCTTTATGTATTTTTTTTTCTTTTTTACACTTTCTTGTTGTGTAAATGTTTACATGTATTATTTTATGCTCAGGGTTCTAAAGCTGCAAAACAAAACCAAAAAAGACGAATCTCAAGTAGATAAAGTTAGTGTGAAGGATGAAAGTGATGAAAGAAATCAGAAACATCTTAAAGAATCTTCAAAAATGTTTAATGATGTTGATCTACAACCTGTTGTGAAAGAACCAAATTTGGAACACCAATCACCTAGCAATAAAACTAAAGTGTTTCATAAAAATAAGCACAAAGAATCAAATAATGCATCACCAGGAAGTAAAAAGAAAAATGTTTCAATGAACATGTTACCCACCAATAAAAAACATGGCTCACAAGACATTCATTCAATGGACCAGGAAGAAGGTATCATTCCAGATGTTAATTATGACCCAGGGCCCAGCCGTACGTTCTGCGAGACTGATATTTATGAAATGGATACCGATGTTGAACCTGAGAACTCATTTTCGAAGCAGTATGGATTAATGCCTCTATTGACTTACTATGAAGATATCCGATTTTTGGTTGGTCAAGATTTGACTGAGGAGGAAAGGAAGAAAGTGAATCGTTATATTTTTGCACATAAAGGGTAAGTACGTGTTTATTTTAAAGATAAATATATATTCAATATTTCTCCAATAAATTAAAATTATTTTAAATTTTTATTGTGCTGTAACACTTGATATAATAGTTTTTTATGTCAGGAGAATTGAAAAACTTGCCACCAAAAGTGAATGTCTCAGTGTGCCTCGTGAAGATTGCTTCTTCAAGTATACTAAATATATTGAATAGTGAACAAATAATTTATTTTTACCAATTCAAAAACAAAAATGGACAAAGAAAGATGTCCATTGTTGGTAGCAAGAAGCTCCTCAATTACATATTTTATTTTAGAAAGGGTATAAGTTTTATATTATCTAAGAAAATCTTACAAAGCATTGTTTGAATGCTTGAAAATTCCTAAAATTATAAGGTATTCTATGATAAATTTCTAATACAATTTTTTTCACTTCTTTTTATACTTAATCTCTCTACCAATAATATTCTTAGTATAGTGAGATCATAGTTATGTAAGAATTCATAAACATATTAAAGAAACAAAAAAAATGTTTAACTATCAACTGTTGTGGTGAAATTAAACATTACTACATGCACTATTCATCGAAGCCATTAGAACTTAATAAATTTTACATTGTTTGTTCAAGAATAACACTCCAGAATTTTTCTTCTTTCTCGTGAATTTTTCTATTTTGAAGAGCCATAATACATTCTTCTCTGGTTTGACCAGTCTAATACATTTAGTTTCCTGTTATGATTTTTGGTTAATTTCCGACACGTCAAACAGTTGTTACTAGAAAAACATTGTGTAGATTTATCTCTATTCTTCCAACATTTTTGCCTGATTCTGGAGATTTTTTATTACTGCAATTTCAAGAAAACTTTAAGGTGGACTCATTAAACATATTTCTCCAAATATAGTGCTTTTCCTGTTATTTTATGTACTTCTCTGATTTCAAAACTTCTTGTATTAATGAAATAAAAATAGCTCTGTTACATATTGCTTTATAATCTATCAGTTAGTTTATATTAAATATATTATTTACTTACATCATTGTTGATGTTTTAATTGTTTTGTTATTTTTAAAATTTACTTTTAGTTTATTATAGTTCTTGACTGTTCATTTTCATACTTATAGAGTAAATGCAATCACTTATGATACTGTATTTTTACAGAATAGTTGTTGAAAAACCAAACAGTGCTGTTGAGTTTATCATCACTCGAAGTGCTGATGAAGTTAACAAGGTTAGTAAATAGTCTACGATAACACATTTTATCCTTAAGAAAATTATTATAATTTATGATTATCTTTCATTTGTAGGAGATCACTATCATTTTCACTATAAATCTATTATTAAATGTTATCTTTAGATTAATTCTCTATTTATTTAGTAACTTTACTCTAATTCAATTACTTTTTATGGAATTACCTTCTCCTCATTTAAACCTTATTGTCATAGTTGTGACCAATTTGGTTATTTATGTTCAATCATCAGAATGGGCCACGATTGTTTTGAAGAGAGAACTTGTGATGTTTGCCAAAGCTTTGAAATATTTCATTTCCCAAATTCTTGATACGTTTTGATTTGACAATATTTTTTAAGACATAATCTCTTCCTCTCTTACTATTTATTTAATTAATGTCTATTCCTATGTATAATGTATCAATTACTATTTATTAATGTGTTTTCAATAACACTAGGGTCCATAAAAAATCCTAACCACCTGAGGTTTATTAATAATGTTTAAAAATCTTTGAAATGTGAAAAAGTTAGTCCAACGTGTGAGACACCTAACAGTGTAGTTCCTAACCCTGATTTTGAATCCAAATGTGGCAGTTTATTTTTATATCAGCTTTTGATGAAATTATTTAGTGGGATATCCTGTTAGGATATATTATTTTCTTATTTATCTTTATTTAATTACTTATCTTTATGTAATTACTACTAATATAATTGATACTATAAAGGTCGAACATGCTACAGCGCCCTAGAACTCCTGAGGGCAGGGTGGCCAAGCAGGCACAGCACCACACATTACCCGGCAACCCATGATAACCTAAGTTTGAGATAGAAAAATAATTACTAGTTCAAATCCTGGTGCCCGGTAGAACTTTTAACTTGGTATGATTCTCCAGTCCGGAAAAAAACCCTCGTAGCCTAAAAAAAAAAATCTGGAAATTTTGAGTCACAGCTGTAGTTTTCATCCAGTTTGTGTAGATTGACTTTTGTTTTGTGATAAACCCACCTTATAAATTAAAAAGTAAAGCTGACCGATGTTTGTTAGATAATGTGTAGTCTCAGCTACAAAAGTATGAAAAATTTGATATCAGTTATGACATGACAAATGACTATATGACAAATAGAGTACACATGTCAAGAAATTTAATTTTAATGATAAAATATTTCCGAGTATGAAATAAAATCCCAACATGTGATATGAAATATAACATTAACAAATTATATTTGGAAGTTTTTTGTTGCCAACTTTTTAATAAATTATTAAATTTCACATTCTGATGTACTTATTAGTATCTAACCCAATAAACAAACAATATACTATTACTAATATTATTATTATTTTAGGTGAAGAATCTGTGCCCTAAAGCAGTAGGAGTAAAGCCTGATTGGGTTTGGATATGTCATGATTGTAACTACCTTTCACCTATCTCAAAGTTTAAAGTAAAGTAAAATTACTAAGGCATATCGAATGTTGAAATGTATAACAATTGTTTTGTTTTTTTAGAAATTTTTTAAATATAATGTTAAGAAATTCATTTTTGTTTACTTTTATCTGAACACTACTGTTCCCTTGAAGCACCAATACATACAGCATTTTTTCTTTTATAAAAGTCTTTACTATTTTCTGATTCATGAAAAATGCTTCGATTTGATCCTTGACTGTGTCACTGCAATGTAGAACTTAATCCTGTTGAATATTAATAGTATGTTACCAGAAATTCATATTTTTTTCCAAATTGTGTGAAATTATAAGTTTTGCGACAAACACCAGGAGAAATATTTACCACTACAAAGAAAATTGTTAGAAGTGAAAAAAACTGTACCCTACAATCCATGAAGGGGTCTTGAGTCCAGTACTGTTTGGAGAAAGCACTGTTTCTTGACCTATGATTGTGCAAGGAGGTGATTTGACTAAGATCATGCACAACTGCCTGTTTTTTCCCCTTAATTAATTATTTTAATTAAGTGTATCCACTTTATAGAGGCTGGGTGTGCCGCAGTCTACCTATCCAGGGCCACCCCAATGTCAACAGCTAATGAAACAGAATAAATAATTTTTCTACCATGAGTTGGGATTCGAACCTAAGACCTTTAGCATTGGAAGCTCAGTACCCTACCACTGAGCTACCCCACTTTGTTAGAAGTGAATCTTATTTTTTCATGGATAAAAAAGAATTAAAGTTAGAAGTGAAGCTTTTTTTTTTTAATTTTAATTATTTTTTATCTATAAAATTTACAATTATATTAAAATATAAATTTAATACAGCCAGCATTGGCCGGAGCGACCAGTGATTAACCGAAGTTTACAAGTTCAAATCCCGGTGCTGTATGAGACTTTTAACTCTGGCATAATTTCTCTACCCTCCCCTCCCTCTGCCCTGGAATAAAACCTATATAGCCTAAAAGGCAAAGAAGAGGAGGGGAAAAAATACGAGTTAGTGAAAGTAAAAATTGTTTGCTTAAAATTTTCGCTTATCTTTCTTTTTTTTTTTTTTTCAAAGATTAAAAATAATTTCAAGACGTCTCCACGAATCTACACATAAATCATCAGTGGCCTACAGAAAATGGGCAAGCCTGACCTCCATAAAGACATTACTTATAGACCCAAAGATTTAAAATAAAATAGAAATCTTTAAGAAGAATTTTTGTATTTTAATCTTACAAAGGCATAAATTCTGAAAGTATGGCATGGGTTCAAAGAGCTGTAACTCAGCTTTTTCAGCAGATGTATAGCATGGAATTTGGAGAAGATCCTGAGGAGTTATGGATGCTTTAGCAAACAGCAGGAAAATAAATTCCAAACATTTATTGGCTACTAAGTGTTTGTTTTTATAATCTAACAAGTTATTATCAACTATTTCATAGTTGATCAGTTTTCTTTTTGAATTGATAAATATTAAAAATTATAAAATTTATAAGTTTTAATACTTCAATCCCACCATCTCCTTCAATTTATATCTTATGTCATCAAATCTTCAGTCAATAATTACTTAGAATATTTATTAATGAATAAACTTGCTGGACCAATCAAACTTTTAGTGATTAATTAGAAAACTACTCAGAGCTACTGGGTTTGGGAACAGCAGCTCTTCATTATCTGATTTCTCTAATTATATATCTACTTTCTCTGAGTGATGTTAATCATAGAAGTGATAAACTGCTTCCAATCTTAAAAATTATACTGTTGATATTAATAATAAATTAAACAACCTAGAACCCATATAGGGGTAGATAAAGGAAACTTGTTAAGGATGAATCTATCGGATCTTTAATAATTTATAATTGCTGCAATATTTTAAATAACTTGTGTTAATAAACTAAATAATTGATAAAACTTCCAATTTTCCTTATAATAAGATTTCCTCTATCCTTTTTTTGATTTTAACAATAAATCTAGAATATTTCATTTATGGAAAGTACTTGATCTGTTAAAAGTTATTATTCATATTTATGAAAATTAATATAAAAATCTGGTGCGCGCAGCACACAAAATTCTCTTAGGGAAGGAGATGGTCCGGGGTGGCAGTCATAAATAGACTAAATAGTGGCAAAACTATTTTATTAAAAGCCAATGTTTCCACCCGACTTTGCAGCTCTTCTTGAGGGCTAGAACGGACAAGATACAAAAAGATATATAGGATTGTGGAAGTTGCATCATATTTAGATTAAAAAAAAAACAATGTGAGTAAATTCATTAAAATTATAAACAGTAAGTACATAAAATTATTAAGAACAATAAGTTGTATAAATAGAGTAGGCTAAGTTGCAAGATCCTAAACTGAAGTAAATAGATGGTAACAATTGTTGTAGTATAATATAAAATATAATATATGCAATTGTGAATATACTCCTACAGATCTACAGGAGAATTATTTAGTGATTTCCGTTAAATAACATTTGTTTCCACAGATTATTATTTATAATTTTTTGTCACTGTCCATTAGTTACCACAACTTTCTATATCATATATTGTTTTTTCTAAAATTCTCTGCTTTCCAAAGATATATTATACGTATACCTTCTGACTAGTATTTCCGGGAGTTCGTTTTCGACCTAAATAAACTTTTTCTCCATTTTTCATTTATCAAATTCTTTCAAAGGTTATATTTACCATTTTTTTGTAGCTCCTATAAATTAAAGATAGTTAATTATTTAAAATAAACCAAATTAAAGGTACTTTAGGGAAGACATGTTGAACATTTAAGCCCTGTAAAGTGACATCAATGACAATAAGACCTCAATGATATTAAAGATCACTTAATTATACAATGATACACTGAGTTTAATCAAAATTGTAGGAGCCATTTTTGAGAAAATTGTAAAAATGTTGATATAAAGTACCACTCCCGGTTAGTCGATTTTTAAGAAAAAGTTACTGTCACATCTAAGGCATATACCTATCTTAAATAAATAATATCACTTTCGTACGATTTTTTGTTTTTGAGCGAGACTGATCATATACATAAACACACTTAGACCATTTTGTGGGATTTGGTTATTTAGATTCAGGGGATTTCAAAACGTGTATTTCCATTGAAAACTCAGATTCTAAAATTTTCATAAATTATAAATTTTTTTTTTTTTTTTTTTATTTGCTGTTATTTAACGTCGCATCGACTGCCAGGGCCATTAGCGACGATCGTTCTTCTTAAATATAACTAATCAATTTTATTTTTCGGATGTACTTCAGCGTTTTTTCGATACCAGCGTTTTCCTTGTACGGTGCCTTGTCTTCAATTTGGAGTTCAATTTGCTGTTTCCGGAACTTTTTGCACTGGAATATGTGTTCAACTGTTAGATTAGCATTTGCACATACCTCACATGTTGGTCGATGTAAGCCAAGAAGTAGGTGGAGATGAGTTAGTTTGGTATGTCCAATCCTGAGCCTGCTTATTATAGAACACTCCTTTGATGTCAGGTGTTTTGGAGGATACCAAGCTCGATTTTCGTCTTTGGTCAGATGAAGGTGATTGCGCGGCAGTAATCTCCACTGTGCATTCCAACTGGCGTTCACTTTCTTTGAAATTTCTCTTCTCCATTCGTTGAGAAACATCGATCCTAAAACAGGTGAATCTGTGCTTCTGGCGGCTTCCTTTGCTCCCTCATCGGCTCGTTCATTGCCAATTATGCCAATGTGTGAGGGTACCCAAAACAATATTATTTTTCGACTACTTTTATTTAGTTTCAAGTTCATTAGCTGAATTTTTTTGTGCAATGTGTTACATGTCCATGCATTTTGCAGTCCCTTGATTACAGATAAGGAATCGGTCACAATTACTGATTTCTCAATATTGGTGTCGATTACGTATTCAAATGCCTTGAGAATAGCCCACGTTTCACTTGTAAAAATTGAATTATTGTTATTTAATTTCCATTTTTTTATATTGTTTTGGGTTACTATACAGCATCCTACACCTTTCTCTGATTTTGATCCGTCCGTAAAAATTATGTCATGATTATGGAATAATTTATGGACAATTTCATGATAACTATATCTAATTTCTTCTGGGGTAGTGTTGTTTGGAAGATTGTTCAGTCCTAGTTCATTTTTGATTGGTGGAATTGTCCACGGAGGGGTATCTCCTATTTTCTGAGGTATAATATTTATATGTGTTGTAATTTCATATTCAGTAGAGTATTTCTCAATTCGACTTTGAAGTATTTCTGAACCATTTAAATCACCTTTATACAGAATATCAAAATTATTGTGCTCTGGCATACTCTGAATTTTTGCTGCATAACGAAGAACGAGAAGTTTTCTTCTATGGTCCAAGGGCAATTCTCCTGTTTCACTCAGTAAGGCAGTTGCTGGGCTTGTTCTGAATGCTCCAATTGAAAGTCTTAGTGCAGTGTTCTGAATTGAGTCTAGCTTATTTAGGAGGCTTTTGCAAGCTGAAGAATATATGATGCTTCCATAATCTAGTTTTGACCTTATAAGGGATCTGTATGTAGTTAGCATAGTGTTCCTGTCTGCTCCCCAGTTTTGATGGGAAAGGATTTTTAGGAGGTTCAGTCTTTTATTACATTCCTGTTTTAATTTTTCTATTTGATATTTCCATTTTAGTTTACGATCTAGTATAAGACCTAAAATTTTGATTTCTTTGTAAAATGCGATTTCGGAACTATTTATTGAAATATTTCTTACGTTCTCTAATTTCTTTTTCCTTGAGAAAATGATAGCCTGTGATTTTGTAGCAGAAAATCTGAAATTATAAATTATAAAATATATTTATAAATATGAAAGCAAAAGCAAAAACTGGTTAAAATAAATATAATTGACTTAATTTGAATTATTGATTCAATCTTTGATAATACATTGGCTTAAGAAATAATTATAATTATATTTTTTTTTTCTATTAAAGTATAATAATGAAAACAAAAATTTGTTGCTAATAGAAGATCCTTTAACATCACAATTAGAAATGTTCTTTCTAAATGTGATGTTTAATAGTCTTTCTGTGCAGACATATGTATTGTCCGGGCTCTAGTTATACCTGAAATTGTATTTTGCCCATATTACTGCAATGGATGATTT